TATTAATTTGCGAAATATATTAATATCGTTGATTGCATAAATTTTTGTGTAACCGTGACAAACTTTCGGAGGCAACTGTACGCGTGTGTTAGCATTTGCAGAGCCCTACTTTGTACTTATATCTAAATAAAATACGTAATATCGCTTACTAGCAATTAACATGAATAAATATAAGGCATTGAGATCAATATGAAGCAAACAAATTGTTCCTAAGTAAATTTTTTTAAAACTTTAGATTAAAAAAACTCAATGACTATCAAATCAATCTTGTTATTTTAATTCTAAATAGTTATAGAATTAAAATAACTAATTTTTATCAAATTTGGTTTAATAGTTGTTAGATATTTTAAAAAAAAATCACTAAAAACAATTGATTGCTTTCTATTGACCACCGATATAAGTTTTGCATAAGTTATAGTATTATATTTTATTCTGTGAAGCAGATGCTTTTTGGTTAAAGATATACTACTCTTTATTTCTGAATTAAGTATTCATGAAATCAAATGAAAGTCGAAGTAAAAATCCTAATAATCAATAAGCATGATAAACTCAGCAGTTAATCATGAAGCGACGCTATATAAGTCTGGTATTATGTGTGGTATCAAACTATGGTTCAAGCTACTCACGTTCAGCTCAGGCTTAACTTAAAAGTCAGCTTTTAGTGAACATCCCTAGAAAATATTATAAATAAAATTGCCTCTCTGTCATTTTTATTAGTGCCTCGAGATAGGTTTAGAGATTTCACTTTTCTTTTGCCTCGTCGGATTGATCTATTTAGTTGCTGTAGGTCACATGATTGCATACAGCTTTGGAACGCGCCTACTTTTTGATACATCTAAACATACCCCAAAATTTCTATACTTTTTATTAACTTTTACTATAACAACGTACAACTTATTGGTTAGTTTTTAGATATATCAAAAAAGTAGGCGTAAGAGTATCAAATTTGCGTTAGGGACAGCGCGATTCAAGTGATATTACTAAAACCACTAACCCATTCGTGACAGACTTTCACTGATCGACATTTTTTTAAAGTCATAAAACACTAAAATTTTGCAAGGAATTTTTTTTTACTAATGCGCAGAAGATGGTTACATAGACGAAATTTTGAGTTACGGCAGTTTTTTTTAGAAAATGGTAGTTTTTGTTTTGATTTCACGTTACACCTGTTACACCTGATCTTGCGGGCAGTTCTTAGGGATAGTGGTTTTAGTAATATCACGTGAATCGCACTGTCCGTAAGAACTGTCCGTAGACTCGGCGCGTAGATTGTCCGGCTTTGGAAATATCGATATCATGTGGACAATAATTTTCTCATAAGGTAGATTATCAACTTGATAACGATAAAATCTATTAATACGATTCCACCTTGTGATTAAAAGAGCATGTCTCAGGCCATCGGCAACGTAATTATTCATATAGCAACGCGCCTTTACTCGTAAATACATTAAATTATATGTCTTACGATTTTATCAATTAAAGACCGCATTAGCGTATGTGCGAGCATGGCATTTAGTAGACGCAAGACAGCGTATATTAGGTCGTATGGCTACTAACATTGCAACCACCCTAATGGGAAAGCATAAACCTATCTATGATCCTGCTTGTATGTATCTGATTTCCATATTTTTTTCACTCTATTATAATATCTCAGTCATCCCGGTTTAGTTAAAATGCGTAATGTTTTACTTTAGCTGATTGTGGTGACTATGTAGTAGTCATAAATGCAAAAGAAGTTGCAATAACCGGTAAGAAAGTCGAACAGAAAGTGTATCGTCATCATAGTGGATATCCTGGAGGCTTAAAAACAATTCCTTACAAGATTATGTTGGAAAAAAAACCTGACGAGGTAAAGCTCATGTTTATGTTAATTTTTCTAATTACAGTAAAGATGCTTATTATAACCATGTTTGTTACTTTATTATTTAAAAAGATTATCAGAAAAGCAGTTTCGGGAATGCTTCCAAAAAATCGCTTACGCGATAGACGACTGGGCCGTTTATTCATTTTCCCAGATGATAAACATCCTTATGAAAAAAATATATTGAAATCTTATGATAATTCATTGAACGAACTTAGTTTACCCGACAAAATTGAGAAAAAAGTGAAGGACAAACCCAAAAATCGGATTAAAAAACCCAATAAAAATAAATTGGAAAGATTGTCTTCTGCAGAAACAATTGACAGCAAAAAAAAAAATGTAAAAGAAAAAACTAAGCAGAATAAAAGCATAGAAATACAAATATGAATAAGGCATTAATAAACAATTTATAATTGTTAGTGATGAATTTTATTAATGAAAATTTGAATGAAAAAAATCATGAATCCCTATTTAATGATGAATATCAATCGGTTTTCCCTGTTCCCATCCAATAGCTGCATCTCGTATGTTATACCAATATTGAAGCTTCACGGTCAATTTTTTCGCTTGAACCAAATCGTTAGATTTAAACGCCCGCGAAAGCTCTGTTATAATTTCATTAATTTTCGCTGTAAGGTTATGCGAAATTTGAGTTGGTTGTGATTGGTATAAGGAGATATATTGAATATTAAAACCCTACCTTCGCTTTCATTTTTGATGTTTTTTGCTTCATCTTCATCAATAGCTTCTTCCAGACGTTCTCTAGCATCTAATATTTTCATTAATAATTCAGGATCTTCCAGCGATTCTGATTCAGCTATTGAAATGTTATTCAATTGAAGCTTTGTTCATTAGTCAAATGCACAAATATGCTTATTAAATCGATTGCATATATGCAAATCATAACAGAAAGCATGAAGAAAAAAGAAATTTAATTACTATGTATTTAGCTCTGGAGAGAGGATCACGTAATATCTGATATGCTTTGTTAATCAAGGATGAGCACTGCTGGGCGTATGTATATTCTTGCTACAAAATGGTTGTTATCAAGTAACATGACTATTGAAGATAAAAATTGATATCTTTTTGTAAAGACTCAATGAAGAGAAAACATAAACTTTTTTAAAATAATTCGATAGTGATACTTGCTTCGTCTTTGTTGCCATATCTGTCAGGATGAACAAGTTGTTGAAGCTTCAGATAATTACTACGTAACTGACCCGAATCGATATCAAATGTTGGTACTTTGCTAAAACGATTTTAGTAAGACAAGTTAGATATAAATAATCACAAATAAAACAATGGAAGGTACAAAGTTACTCACGAATCATCACCTATTCCTAACGTTTTAAAGTAGGTCGTTTCATTTAGAATTGCATTCTGAATAACACCATAATCTTGCTTGAAGTTGTTACGCGAAACTATTTTGCGCAATGACAAATGGCGATATAACGAAACTCTGCCGGAAGCTGAATTCCTAAGAAAGATAATAGGCTGGGCTATAGTTGGTAGTCGAAACCATTTTTCCATGTTGGAAATTTTGAATGAAAAACGAAGACTAAAAGTTAACCTTGTCGGTCTCGTGACATTATCCAAAATGAAATTAGGGATTGGAACCGTTTAACCGTTTAAAAGTTACTCCATAGTTCCGGGCAAGAATTATGTTGGTCGTGGGCCGGATTTATTTTAATGCCAGCTAAATTTAACGGTTAAACGATTAAGAAAAAGTTTAATTTCTAAATGAAATGAAATTGAATGTAACTTTATGGATTAATCTAGTATAAATTAATGCGGCAGCTAAGCTGAGATTGGCTAAAGCTGAGATCAGGGGTCTCTATGATACCTATTAGTACTCTTTTATTAATAAAACTATCTTTAAACTCTAACAAAAAAAAACTCAAAAATTTTTAAAATTTAATATTAAAATATTTTAAAATCTTAGCTTTAGTTGTTACAATTAATATATATTTTTGAAAAAAATTTTAAATTTAAAAAAATTTCTAACCAGAATTATAATAAGTTTACTAAAGTAAAAATAGGTAACTTTAAAATTTTTTATAATATTTAAAGCAAAATTAATTTGGCAACCTAAAAGTATGATAACTTAGTAAAGTAGATAAGTTGTTATCTCTTTAAGTGACAGGTTGAAAATTTAAAACTTATTAATAATAAAAATTTAAATTTTTTATTTATATTATAACAATTGTTTTTTATTAATTAATTAAGACAAGATACCTATAACTATAGTAATATTAGCATGACTGATAGATTTATATAATTTGGTTATACAAAGGAATACAAACTGATATCAAATAGTACAAACCCAAGATAAGTTCTTGTATTTATGAAATTCATAGAATTGGAGAAACAAAATTTATTTAAAAAAACCTGAATAAAGAGGTAATACAAATTTTTGATAGTACTACTATAAAGATTAGATCTAGAAAATAAATATTAATATGAAGAAATCAAATAGTTAAGAACTTTTAAATAAGAAATATTATTAATCAGATTGTTAGAATTTTAATTAAAAAAAATATTAAGTTCAACTTGATATATTAAAAACAGATTATAATATTATTAAGTTATCTAGATTAAAAGTTTAAAGACAAAATAGTAGTATATTAAAAATACTAAGAATATATTATAAAGTTGATGTTGAAGTCTGAGTAAACATCATAGTAATATCTAGATCAGCTATAATAATAGGTACAGAAGGCTCTGAGAGGTTTACTTCAAGAATAAATTAGTTCTAAGGTTAAGATGATGATCTGAATATCTGGATATGTTCTAGTAAGTTAATATAGATTACAGATTCAGAAGATTTAAAATAAAATACTTAAGTAGGGATGTTAGATATAGCAATTAGTGAAGAATCTTTAAGCAGACTCTTTAAATAGATAATATAAAAAAGTTATATATGTAGCCAATTATATGTTCTCATGTAGTGGTTTATTGAATCACAATATCAATAAGTTATTAATAAAAGTTAAAAAACTAAAGAGGTCACCTTAACATTAAAAAAAAAAAAAAAGTCTAAGTAAACTTTACAAAAATATAACTCTTTTAATACTTTATAAAATATATAAATAAGGATAACAATTCTAGTATAGTGGTTGGGTTGTCATCCTTCAAGTGACAGATTTAAGATTCAAATCCCATCTATGATGAAATTTGAAAATTATATCTGCATTACAATAACTGTCTTCTGTCGATCGGTTGGCCTCATATGACTGTTATTCAGGTATACCAAGTTAGGTCCCTAACATTGGGAGCTTAAGCATCTATGCAAAGTGTAATGTTATACATATATAGAAGAATGTTTACTAGTGTTGCATGAGACTTTAGTGCAAACTCACGATAAGACCATCAGGCATAGAAGACTAAGGAACCAAGATGATAGAAACCTATTTGAAAATTTCCAAGTAAAAAGATAGCATAAATTTTTGACAATATTATCAGACCAATTGAAGCCTATAAAACACCTTTATAGGAGCTAAAGATTAAAACTGGATATCAAATATGTGTAAATGAGCACATAACTAATCAGGTCACCAGATTCACCAGAGGAAAAGAATATATAAGTATACCATATCGGGCTATCTAAATTGGTAGTCTGAAATAAGACTGATGGTTCTGAGTTGTAACTAGTAGGAGATAATAAAAAAGATGCTGAAAAGATAGGTATTGGGGTTTTAGTAAACTTTACAAAGATAGAAATAGTGTAATATAGCAGTTAAACAGATAACCCTTGTGACTGCAAGTATTAAATAACTATAGTGTGTTGCATAAAACTAGGTCTATATATATGAAACATAAAGGCTTTAGTAAGTTTCCTATCAAGGATAAAGTAGTTCTAAGAGTAACAATAAGCATCAGGAATTTGAATAGGTGTAGCTTTAAGATGTTTTCATAATACAAGAAAGATTGCATATGCAAAGAGTTTAAATAGACAAGACTCCTAGTTACTTGCAGGTATGGCAACAAGTGTAAAACTTATATAGCAATATGTAAGTGGACTACTTAAATTAGGTACCAAAAGTGCATATGTGGCTAGTTGTAACTTCTAATGTAAAGAAGCTCTTGAAGGCACCTGTTTTCTAACAAAACTTAAATAAAATATCACATCACCAAGATAGGAACTTTAAAAAAAAAAAAATATATATATATATATATATATAAATTAACTAACAAAAAGATATTTTAAGTCTTATAATCTAATATACAATATATTTTAAAATAAATAACAGCTTAATAGTTATATAGAAAGAAAAGTTAAATATTAGATTAGATACTACTTAGATATATAGAAGTTATTATATTATTTGTTAAATATAATATAAAGATTAAAGTATTTAATTAAATAATCTTCTAGTAGATTATAGTTATTATAAAATCTGCAGACAAACTATTTAAATAATTAATTAAAAATTATATATATGATTAGTTATATACTCATATTATACAAGTATATATAATTAAAATATAATAAAGATAATAGCTATTATGATCAAGTTTTGATTATTTATGACATATACAATACTAATTATAATTATATATTAACATTCAATAATATAATTCTCTTAACTCTTCTATAACAGATAAAAAAGTTTTTAAATTTTATTAAAATTTTTTAATAAAAAGACTCTAAACTTACAAACATCAGTTATAAAATATTTAAACATATAAGCATTATTTGTATTAAAGCTATTATAACTTTATTCAATCATTACTTTAACTCAAGTTAAATTTTTAAACAATAGAAATATAATAGAATTATTCTATTCTAAAATATAATATATTTAATCAAAAACTCTTCTTAATGATTATTTGAACCAAACTTTTTAAAAAGCCAAACTACAGAAAAATAATATAGTTAATATATTAAACTTTATAAAAACTTTTTAGAGTACTATATATGCATAGTTGAACATTAAAATAGAGTTAAAAAGTTGCAGCTTTGTGGTAACAGTTTAAATACATTTTGGAACTATAAAAGAAATAGTCAATGAAAGCCAAAGTTTTTTATCAAGTAAATAACAAAGTTGAATATATTAGTTATATATAACTGTAAAACCTACAAGGAACACCTACAAAGGTCAAAAACTCACAAAAGCTACAAAGTTATTTTACCTCTTGCCTTTACTTTGCTTTGAGAAAATTTTGTAAAAGTAGATGATTTAGCTTACCTTCTCCTAAAGATCAATATGTAAAACTACCAAAACAGTCAGCAGTGTTTACTTCCTAAATAGGTTTGTTGATAACATAGATTGAAAACAATACAGTAATATAAACACAACTATACATGTGTCTTGAAATACTAAAAACTTAAAAATACTGCCTCCAGACTAACTAGTGCTCTATACTGACCTTCTATGATCAAGTCAAAGATTTTTTTTTTCTACATAATGTTTTGTTAAATAATCTAAATAAATAAAAAAATAGTAGTGTTATTTCTATTTAGTATAGTTTAGAATTTTTAAAAGCCTGACATAGGTATACAATTGTAACTATTTAATATTTGTGAATTGCAAGTTTTACACATTTCTTTTTTTCTTGTTTATTCTCTTTTCTTTTTTATTTTTTAATTTGTATCTTTTATTATTTACCTCTATATCTCTGTTTTGTTTTTTATATAAAATTTTTTTTTGTTTTTTGCTTCCCTATGAAAAGATGTTATCAGATTGGTGATGTTCTATTGTAGAATAACAGTTAGATAAGCAGTTTATCTTTAACTGAGATAGTGCAGCAGGTTATACTTAGGTACTATTTGGATAGCTAAGTAATACTAAACTTATATATCAGAAAAATTCTATATAATTTGTATAGTTTTAAGAATTCCAATAAAGTACTAGCATGACTGCTAAAGTTAAATATATATATATATATTTAATAATAACTTAAATTTTATAATCCTATTAGTCTTATCAAACATATTTAAAAAGTTTATACAAAAATTATTACTACTAGAATCAGTACTGTATTTTTTCAACATTTTATTTTTTTATTATATATAAACAAAGTATATGACTCTGTTAATCTTATTTTTCTTCAAAAGTCTCTACAATATCTTACTTTTCTTTATTTTATTATAAATGCTATTATTAATATACTTACTGATCAATAAAATCAAGTTATAATAAACCTTGAACTTACTTTATTATATCTTTTATTCAATAACATTAATTAAAATAAAACTATTTTTCTTCTTTTATAAAAAATTTACTATAATCTATTTATCTTATATATTTACAACAACTTTAAAGATTATAATATCAAATCTTTTGATTAACTAATCTAAAATATTAAATATACAACAAACTTAATTTATATTACTCAGTTTTTGATTATATGAATAGTACTTTTTAAATTACATTCTTATAATAAGAAATATTATAAATTCTTTTTATAGCTAAAATTTTTTTTAATATAGCAATATACAAATTAATTTTTCTAAATCTGTACTTACAACTAATAACAAACAAACTAACTATACTTCTATTATATATAATAACTATTTTCTTAACCTT